ACCTGATGCTCCTGATGCTGAAATCGCGTTTGGTGTGAACACACCAGAACCCGTCCAGAGGACCTACTTATTTTTTTCTTTTTGACCAATTAGTAAAGCACAGCAGAGCTGCAAACAAAGTGAGGACATTGAAGAGTTTCTCATTTTACATCAAAGACCTCAGTTTGATAGTAAATATGGTCCAAATGGTCCTCACTCTGTAGTAAAGACAAGCACACACACACACACACACACACACACACACACACACACACACACACACACACACACACACGGTGCTCCTGAAGTCCTGAGGAGTCCAGCTCTAACACATGCTGTAGCAAATAGGCTCATCCATCATGGCCGTAAGCAGACGTAGCTTTAAAGGCGACGCCAGGATCTTACCAGGAAGTAGAGTGTTTTCCATCTCATCTATTAAAAAACTAATTTAAAGTTGTGTCGAGTGACTCCGGTGGTAATATGATGCTCCTGTCGGTGGAAATCAGTTTTTCCTGCATGATGTTCAATAACGCATCATAAACCATTGATAAAAGTAGTTGTAGTTTAGATGCTGTTGGATCGCTCTAACTCTCTGCAGATGAAACGCTCRCCCACAGTACATATCTGAATCAATGAAAAGATGTCTGCAGCTCTCAGGATCTGTCGATAGACATTAGTACCTTGTCTGAGCAGCAGCAGGAGCTCCCCTCGCTCCAACTCCAGACTGAGGCTCCGCCCCTCCCGACCCTCCGCCCGCAGGAGCGTCCCAGAGTTCCTGGCGGTTTTAAACTTCAGCGTGACCACGCCCGCGGACCTGACGGAGCCGGGGCTCAGGCTGYACACCAGACCGCTGCTGCCATCGAAACGCACCACTTCAGAGGCTGAAAGACAAGACAAACCATCCTAACTCACTATTTACACAAGCGAAACTGATAAAACTCAACATAGTTAAAAACTGACAGAAAATATTCAAAACCCTTAAAGAGAAGGGGAGGAGCCTATGAGTTAAAATCAAACTGAAACGATCAGAACAAGAAGAAAAGTTTCTGTTTTTGTGTCTGCTGGGTGAAGCTTTGGAACAAGCTGAATGTTCAACAKTTCAAACACAAACTGATTATTATTGTTAATATCACCTGTTATAAGTATTAAATATGTGACTGAAGGCCATCAAGCTTCCTTCAGCTTAGGGCAAGTTTGATTTTACACATTTAAGACCTCTTTAATGCCACTGGAAATGAAATTTAAGGCCAATTTTACTATAAACACAAATATATATTTAAAAAACAGTGAGGAACCCTGTATATGTGACCCATCACATCGAAACGAGGATTAAGTCTAAAAGTTGTGTGTGGAGAAATACGCAGATATAGGGTTTTGATTAAAATGCTTGCAAAAATTACATTTTGTCAAAATATAACAAATAAATGTGCTATCAATATGTCCTTTCAATGAACTGTCTGAAACATCATCCTAAAACAATTTTTTGAAGCACTTTTTTTAGCAGTAGCAACCAAAAACCCGAGTTTGAGCAAAAACGCCTTAAAATGGTGAGATTTTCCCTGTGAGCTATCAAAGCTTTTGTTTCTTTCCAGCTGGGAAATCTCAATATTCAAATACTATTTGAGGTTTCCTTTTTCAAATGACATAAAATAATTCTCATTAAAATTACATAAAATTAGTATTTAGACCACATATTTATGTACTATTGTAACCAACAAGACAAATGAAATAATATCTCTGGATCTAGTAAAGATATCAGGATGATCTAAGTATCAAAATGTAGCTTTTAAAGCAGGAATCTGAAAATATGATGAGGTCATTTTGACTAAATTTATCCTCATTTCGATGTGATGGGTCACATATGTGGACCACAGGTCAGGACTTCAGTCAGTATGACACATTTATGTTTTTTACTGTCTGCCTATCTTATTAAAAGTGCTGTCAGGGAGAGACAGATAAGTGTGTGGTTACCATGGTGACCGTAATGAGAGCTGGCGGCAGCTTTCTTTTTGTGTCGGTTCTTTAGACGTTTATATACAATAAAAGATTTTTCAGCTTAGATTATTCCAGATTCGAGATGACAGAAGGATAATTTTAAATAAAGTTAATAAATGTAGAATAATTTCCAGTGTTGTCGGAACCTTACAACCTAATGCTCCTCCTGATGTTCATCTCTGTACCGTCTTTATTCTAGCTTTTAGTTTTAGTAAAAATGTCTTTTTAGTCAGTTTGTTTCAGTCATGTTTCACTTTGAGTCAGCGTAAGGATGAATTAGTTGGACGTGGTTAATGTAGCAGGGCTAGGCCACAGCAGTGTTAGACAGCCTGCTAATCCTCAGCCTTCCCTGTAATCAGCTCCCCCTCTACCGTGTCTGATATTGATCACGTTATTCCAACCCAACAGATCATTAACATGACTGGCAGTTCCAACAAAGAGAAGAAAGCCTG